TATTTGTCAGGCATCGGGATCACATGTACATGGGGGTACATAATTGGCTATTCTTTGAAATGTTTAAAGCTTCTTTATTTCCTTTGTTATAGTCTGTTCTTTCATGCCAGGTCTGAACAAAATATTTCAATGGTTTAAAAAAATTCAATTTTTAGAGAGTTTAACAATAAAATCCAGCGACAATCTAGGTATAGGTTATTTAAAAACCCACCTTATCTTGTTTATAGTTTAATTGTTACAGATTTATGCATTGTTTATTAAAGATCAAGATCTAGTAAATGAAAGGTTCTTACATATTGATAAATTTTAAGAAATAAATTCCTATAGAAATGCTTTTATTATAACTTTAGCTTAATAAAATAAGGTGTTTCGGGGCATAATTTGAGAGTAAACTAGATGAAACCCCATATTTTAAACTATCATTTTCTATGAAAAATTAAGAAACCAGTCATGAATATGGGAGGTTTTGTTCATATTTGACAAAGGAATACATCAAAATTGCCTAGAATCTCTGAGAAAACGGTACTTCGTTTGTTCATGGCCTCTTATTTATAATAATATTAAATTTAAATAGGTATTGGGAATACTTTTCAATCGACCTATGATTTCAAAATGAATTCCATGAAAATACCCTATTTGACATAATTCTGTGAAAGCTGTAGAGTATTGGAAAAAGAAAGTAGAAATAGATTATGTAAATAACAAACACCTTAGCCTTGTTCAAATTTGTGAAAATATCAAACATAAGGATGTTGTGGAATCGTTTTCTTTTCACACTGTAGACAACGACGTTGTGAGTAAATGCATTAACAAATGGGGCTTTTAAAAGGCTACAATAATTGATGGTATTGCGGCTAAAATTGTTAAACTTAGCCATGAGCATATTTTGAACCCTGTGACTAATAATGTAATTTTTTTTCTCAAAATGTTTTTCCATATCGTATGAAAATTGCACAAGTAGTTCCACTTCACAAAAAAAAAGGTATTTTGGAAAAAGGAAACCATAGACCAGTTTTTATTTTACCTACATTGCCAAATGCAGCTACTAGTCTTATCTCAAACTATTTAAGCAATCGAAAACAGTGTGTAAAGCTGGGGAATATTTGTAGCGATTTTTTAGAATTGTACAAAGGTGTTCAACAGGGTTCTATACTTGGTCCTGTTATCTTAAATATTTCTATCAACGACATTTTTTTCATTTTGTGTCAGATTGTGATCTCTACAAATATGCCAATGACAACATTCTCTCAAACTTAAGTGATGATATTACATCACTAAAAATACCTTAGATTCAAATCGTTCCACCTTCGTTAAGTGGTTTGGAGATAATCAAATGCAAGCAAACCCTGATAAATTTAAAGCTATATGAAAGCTATAGGAAAGAAAATTAATTAGAAAATATTTGTTTTTAAATTGATGGTAATATAATTTATCCGGAAAGCGAAGTAAAATTACTAGGTGTTACTATATATTTTGAGCTAAAGATAGTTCTCATATTTCAAACACTTGTAAAAAAGCTTTGCAACAACTAAATGTACTTAAAAGAATAGGGGTACACCTGACCAAATTAGGAAAACTAACCTTTTATCATACATTCATAATGTCAAACTTCAACTACTGTTCATTAGTTTGGCATTTTTGTGGTGAGCGAGAAATAAGAAAAATGGAGAAAAAAAATACAAGTAAGAGCGTATTGCGTTTTGCTTATTACGATTATAAAAATTCTGAATAAATCAAAATTACTATGCCCCAAACTCAGGCGTATTAAAACAATCAATAGCCATAAAACGTTTTAACGACGTTCGATCCTGATATTTAAAGTCTTAGACTTTTTTTGCTGAGTATATTTCTACATAAATAGCTTTATTAAAATTTAAATAAAAAAATAGGGGGCAATATGCTTATCCCTGCAATATTTTTATCCGAAACAAAATGAACTCTAAATCTGTTTTAAAAAAAAAACTCTTAAAAATTGTGACTTCGAGTTTCAAATTGCTTCGCATTATCAATTATTTGACCTTTCTGCACTTATTTAACTGTGTTTTTTCTGGCATTGAAAATTTAATAGGCAAAAAAATTACTTTAAAGTCTTAAACTTTTTCTGACTTCAATAGGTCAAAGTTAACTTCAATATTCAGAAAAGAACATCAACATCAAAAGTGGGGGTATATAATGTAAATTTTTAGATATTACTAAAAAAGTGTCAATTTTACGTTAAAATCGGCTAAATTTTTTGCCGGATTTTCAGAATATATTTACTATCTTTGTCACACTTTGTTGATAGAATTCATAAGAAATAATTTAATAAATATTTCAGAACAAGAATAACATATTACACTACAAAAAACAGCTTTGTGTGCAACCTGTATGGAAAAATAGGAATCCAAAATTAACAGTACTGTTGTAGTTCAAAAGGGATAAACTGATCATTTTCGTCTAAAAAAAACCTTCCGCCACAAAATATATTTCGTAGTTTAATTCTAATTGAATTGAATTTAATCGCAGTTTTATCACTGAATATAGTTCAATTTGTATTGTAAAATTCAGATCTAATAATAGAACTTAAAAATGATGCAGAACTTTATAAATAAAGGTCATGACCAAAATCCACTCAAAAGCTCAGGATCGAACGTCCTTAAGTTTTTAAACAAACAAAGCCCATCAAACCTGTATGATTTTATCAATACTAGTAATGTAAGCGAGCATGCAAGGTTACAACTGTGTTGTCGCCCTTTGAATAAAACTACAGTGGTTTAAGCGAGATAACTCATATTTATAAGTACTATGGCTTAATATGCGGGATCGGTAAACAATAAATTCTAACGATGACGTCAAAGTTGTCTGTTGACCTATTTTGAAAGTATGGAATCGGAGCAGAGTAGAAGAAAACAAGACGTTTGATTGCTATTTTCTACGCTATCTAATTGATAAGTGTATATTCTTCAGGATAATAAAACTATTATAGACTGTTTTAGAAGGGAGACATCACCAATTATCAGGTCCGAGTAGGGTTGTCACCTGAGGGCGCTTGATCACCAATTATCAGGTCAGAGTAGGGTTATCACCTTCTGGCACAAGCGCCCTCCGGTGTCAACTCTACTCGGACCTGATATTTGGTGATGTCTCCCTTCTAAACAGTCCATATTTGTATATTATATTATTAATCAGTCGGAAAATAGCTCTTCAGAGCCGGTGTCCTTTGTTTGATATATACGACTTTAAATAAATATTATCTCATCGTATCTTACGTTATAACGTCATATTGGATCTAGTTAATTTACTACATCTTAAACCTTAAGGACAGATGATACAACCCCCCAAAAAAGATATCTGGATTAGTCTATATATTTGGACCTACTTTTTGTTGAATGGGATGCAGGTAATTAATTTCCAAAATATTAAGATATTCTAAAAATTTTACGATGTTCAATTTTCTATTGCCATACTTATTTTACAAACAAATATGTATCACTTTAAATTTCATTTTCGTGTAACTGTGAATGAAAACAATTACATATAAACTTGTTCATTTTTACTTGTTAATACTTACTCATTGAAACATGACTCAGGTAGTTTCACTATTTATGACAAGAGTTTGTTTGTATCATCTGTCCTTAATATTTATATTAATTGACCAATTGATGATTACAAAAGTATTTATAATATACCTTTTTTTAATGTGTACGGATGATATGCCCGACATCGCAGTAGAAAAGAACGCAATGCGTGACTCAGCTTTGGACCACAAAACCCTAATGCATTAGTTGCCGATACTTGTGCTCTACTTTTTTCTTACAATGAACTTCTCTTTACCTTCTCGAAGATCAAACAAAACTTCGAATTCAATTATGGTAGGATTCTTCTCATATTTCTTGTAAAAAGAAACATTAACATACATTTCCATGCTTTTCTGATGCTGAGCGTTTAGTATACACTGAACCAAACTTCTAAGTGTTCAACTAACATTTTGTACGTTATAATAAAGAACAAATGCATACAATAACTTCTTTAATCCATGGCTAATGATGCATATTTCAGTTCGATGTTGGAAAAAAATTCATGTATGCATCTCGTCTTAATATTAATGAAGTTTCTAATCATTTTCGATGGAATCAAATAGATTGCAGTTTACTTCATGAGATTTGCTTTTTTGTCCAAAATGATTTAATACATCCAGTTCTAGCACGTTACCCGCAATTACTTGATGTGCAAACTTATCAGAACGAGAACGCTCTACTTGATGTGCAAAATGATCCAGAGGGGAACGCATTACATTTCGTTGCCTTTGCTGGAAACGATCCAATCTTTAGAAATATGATTAAGAGTGGCTGTGACCCATACAGCAGGTCTAATCATGGTTCCACGGTCTTCCACTATGCGTGTCAAAACGGCAAACTGCACATGATCAGGTATATATGTGACACGTTTCCAAATTTACTTTCTCCGGATTATAATGACAATGAAGGCAGGTCTTTTTTAAACTATTCAGCTCAATCAGGAAACATAGAATTGTATGAATAATTCATAGAGAATGGTGTACAGCAAACATTCACTGAAGGTCAGAGTACGCCATTACACGAAGCTTGTAAAGCAGGAAAACTAAATATGTGTAAGTTTGTAGTCAAAACTTATCCTCATTCACTAGATGTCAAAGACAGTATTAGAGAAAATTCCTTACATGCTGCGGCCTGGGGAGGTAATCTTGATTTACTCAAATTCCTGTTAGAAAAATATGTTGATATCAATAGTAAAAGAAATGACGGGAAAAATCTGCTACATATATGCAGCATGAAGGGACAGTTTGAGATGTGTAAATACCTTGTCAGCAGTCAGCCGAATTTACTTCATGGTCAGGACACTGGCGGAAATAATGTCTTACATGCCGCAGCCTGGGGTGGAGACATTAATTTATTCAAGTTCCTGTTGGAAAAACCTTTAATATCAAAGCTACCACAAATGATTGGATTACTGTACTTCACATATGCTGTATGAAACTAAATATGAGTAAGTACTTAGTAAACACTTATCCACCTTTGCTACAAGCTAAAAATGAATATGGGGGAAATATCTTACATGCTGCAGCATTGGGTGGAAACATTGATTTATTTGAATTGCTATTGGGAAAAGGGTTTGACATCAAAGTCAACCCACATGACGGTAAAAATGTAATAATTTCACGTTGTATGAACGGAAAACATGAAATCTGTAAGTACTTTGTCAGCATTTATCCTCATTTACTTCATGATACGGACACTGATGGGAACAATGCCTTACATGCAGCAGTCTGGGGTGGAAACATTAATTTATTCAAATTCCTGTTGAGAAAGGGTTTTGACATCAATATCTCTGAAAATGAAGGGAAAACTGTGCTTCACTTTTGCTGTTTAAACGGACAACTCGATATGTTTAAGTACTTGGTCAACACTTATCCTCAATTACTAGATGTCAAAGACAATGAAGGAGAGAATGCTTTACATGCTGCAGCCCTAGGTGGTAACCTTGACATGCTAAAATTCCTGTTAAGAAAAGGATTTGATATCAAAACCAGAGGAGGCGATGGGAAAACTGCTTTTCACCTTTGTTGTATGAATGGAAAATTAGATATATGTAGGTTTCTGATTGAAAATTATCCTCATCTGTTATACATCAAGGATAGTACAGGAGTGAACATTTTAGATGCGGCAGCTTGGGGTGGACACGTTGATTTGCTTAAATTTCTTTTGGGAAAAGACTTGAACATCAAGGTATCCTCAGATGAGGGGAAAACTGTTCTTCACTTTTGTTGTATGAATGGGAAACTAGATATGTGTGAGTATCTTGCTGAAAATTATTCTCTTCTATTATACATCAAGGATATGTTTGGATTGAATGTCTTACATATGGCAGCTTGGAGTGGAAACATTTATTTGTTCAAATTCCTGTTGGAAAAAGGCTTTGACACCAAAGTATCCTCAATTGATGGTAAAACTGTGCTTCACCAATGTTGTTTAAACGGAAAACTTAAGATGTGTAAGTATTTGGTCCACACTTATCCTCAATTACTAGATGTCAAAGACAATGATGGAGTGAATGTCTTACATGCGGCTGCTTGGGGCGGTAACATTGATTTGTTCAATTTTCTGTTGGAAAAAGATTTTGATTTCAAAACCACAAGCGATGGGAAAACAGTTCTTCACATGTTCTTCACATTCGTTGTATGAATGGAAAATTATCTATGTGTAAGTATCTAACAGAAATATATTCTCAAATGTTGGATATCAAAGATACTGATGGTGTGAATGTCTTACATGCGGCTGCATGGGGGTGGAAACATTAATTTATTCAATTTTCTGCTGAAAAAAAGGGTTTGATATCAAAACCACAAGAGGCGACGGGAAATCGGTACTTCACTTGTGTTGCATGAATGGAAAACTAGCTATGTGTAAGAACTTAATGAATACTTTTCCTCAATTACGCAGGTTTGTTAAGGCAGCACATGGATCAGAATTCGGCGAATTAACACTTTTTTATAATTATGCAACACTAATAAATCGGAAAAGTCAAGGATAAAACTTTTACAATGATTATGTATTCTATAGACTTCAATGGAACTTATACTACAGGAGGCACTCCACGACGTCACACGTGACGTCTATAATTAGAAAATATGCTTTAATAAAAAAGTGAAAAGTTTAACACTACCCCGGGGATAATTAGTTCCAATTTATATTAATAGTTATGTTAAAACATCTCTGTGCCATGAAAAGTGCTGCTAGAATCCTACTGTCCTCTTATTGAAATAATTATCTAACAATTTCAGACAAATCCTTACCAAAATTTTTACATTTTGTTCATAACATCGAAAAAAATGCATCAATTCCCGTAAACCATACGATTCTAGCAGCACTTTCCAAAAACAAAAGAATAAGAACTTTAGATACAAACAAAAATTAAGTTTCAAGGTATGTGGCGTAGTGTTGAACTTTTGCATCTTTTTTGCTACGAAGGACAGAGGAAAGGCTGATCGGCAAGTAAACACCCTCCCTGCTTTAATTTTACGAAGAAATTGCAGAATTATATTACCATACCTTATTCATACGCTTTATTCCCACAAGAATCACACATGATATTCATTCTAAATGCTTTTAAACTCCGACTTCTTGTGTTTGTTTATAGAAATTTTCGTTACTTTTCACTTTCACTCTGCTACTGCATGATCAACAGTTATGACGTCACGGGTTTGGTATATAACCCCTGTGATAACTACAGAGGCCCAGGAACGACAAAATTCCGTTGATCTTATTCCTCTGCATATTTTGGTTCATTTTTACGACCTCAAATCAATCTTAGATATCGATTTTAAGAAATTGTTATATATCTAAATCTCACGTCATATAGCTTATTATGACGTCATAGCATATAAGCAAGAAGAATATTTGGTTGTAACCTTAACCTACCTGCGTACTTCATATCAATGCGTTGTATGATGCATCTTGGGTTGGGAATATTGAATTATTCAAATCTTTGTTGGGAAAAGACCTTAAAGTTGAAACCACCAGAAATGATGGGAAAACGGTGGGTGTTACATCTATGTTGTATGAACGGAAAATTGGATATTTGTAAATACCTAGTAGATACTTTTCCTCATTTATTGAATGTCAAAGACAAAACTCAACTTATAGCATCAAATATTGCTTATTTGTATCAAGCCAAAAGTGTATCAAAATTTCTACAGAGGGCTGTTTCTGAATACCGAAGGTGGCAAAAGCGAAAAGAAATGCATCTGTAGATTTTGGATGCAAATGTTTTTACTTAGGAAGGGATTAATGAAAAACAATTAATATCAAAATTTTTTATAAAATCCTTTCTTATGATATCTGTACGAGGCCGATGGAGTCTAATCATTTTTGCCCAAGGAATATTCATATTTGTTACTATTAATTTTTACCCATGCAAAAAGGGCCCTTAAGGTAAAAATTATCAAAATTGACTTTTCAATGGATTATGATAGCACGCAGTGTAAAATGACCAATTATCAAGTTTCATTCAAATATCCCAACTAATGACTGAGATACAGGCAATCAAAGTTTCAGAAAATATTAAAAAGACGCTAAAAGAAGGATATGGAAATAACGAACAATATTCAATCTCAACGTCCATTAAACAATATACAAAATAAGAGCCGAGCAAACACGGACCTCCGAAACATCAGAGGTGGGATCAGGTGCCATGGAGGAGTGAGCATCCCCTGCCGACCGGTCACACCCGCCGTGTGCTCGTTGTCATAGTCAGGAAATAACGGAAAAAATCCGTCGTCAATTCAGTGTATAAATAATGGACTAACAACTGGTATGAAAAACGTCAGTGAAAAATGACGTTCTAAATGACGCTTTATCATTGAATCATTTTTTACAGTTATCGGTTCCCGGATTGAAATGTCTTAAGCTATTACTTTTGCTTTTGTTTTACATGCAATATTTGAAATAAATGTTTTCGTAAAATTAATTCTTAATCATGCACTAATTGTCACAACCGACCTAAACCTAAATTTTACATGTAAATAAATATGATTGTATATAAAGCCGTACAGGAAAAAAGACATATTTTAGACTCGATATCAGACAAGACTTGTAAGTACTTTTAGGAAGTGATTTTTGCAAGTTACAGAAATATTGGCTCTCTGGTATTTCAAAATAAACATTAATTGGAAAAATTTGATTTAAAAAAACCTTCATGAAGAATTTTTTTTATTAATGAAATACAGTTAATGATTTTGCAGCGGTTAAGAACTTTTGGTTTTTCCTAATAACTTTATAAGCTAAAAAAAATGTGACCTCATGTTTGGCAAGAATATTTAAATAGGGAAAAAGGCAATTTTAAAAAATGAAGAAAATATTTTCACATACAAAACATATTTTACATACTTGTATTTTATTTACATAAAAATATTTCCTTAAAAAATAATTCATTACCATAAAACAGATACTACTATGATTATATACGATATATGTTCATTGTTTACGTAATGGTTCATGAGGTTATAATAAAAATATATCTAAGATTCTCATCTCCGCCCAGACAGATTTCTTTTACTCCCGCCTCAACTTTTTATTTCCGTTTTTCTTAATTATGATCGGGATCGGTATTTTCTACCATTCAACTTCTGTGTTAAATCCCGCGAAAATCGGCAAGTATTTTACAACTGGGTCATTGGTTATGAAAAATTGGTGATAATGTGAACTAAGAGATAAATGGACCTCTACTATGATTTTTATTCGGATTTTCTAGATAAATCTGCAACGATTGACCAAGTCAATAAAAATAATATGCAAAATTTAGAAAATATAAAACATAAGCCGCCCCCTGGCCTCAATTTCTTTTTAAAAATTCAGTTGAGAATCTAGGAATTTTTATTATGGACTTATCAGTAATATTTTTCATCTAGAGTGAATCAGAAAATTTATTGATGGGAGGGGGTCCATCTGCTTTAATTAATAGTGGCAAATCCAGGAATTTTGAAAGGGGGCGCAGAAGAAAGGCAGGTTGTCTGGGGCTGCACTGAAGCCCCTAGTGGGTCTAAGCCAAGGCTGTTGTGGTGTCTGGTGTCGAAGGTCTCAAATAGTGAAATTTTATTTTACAAATAAGAGATTTTTACCTTGATTTAAGGAAAATGGACACAAACGTTTTACATACGAAAAATTTAAACTAGGGGTGGGCTGGGGGTGGGGCAATCCTGGACCTACCTTGAATAAAACTCCATTTCTATTTTTTAACAGGTTAAACAAAGTGTCTTATTGGGGGGGGGGGGATTCCCGTACATTATTTTGTGTCTGGGGACATGTGGACATTAACACCACAAATCTCAGTTATACTAAACATACCAATATTATTGTCGTACACTGAAAAAAATTATGTAGATAAAACATGTAATATATGCCAAAACTATCCTACTGATGACACATTTTATGAATGTTTCTAACAATATTGTGCATGTTAATAATTCCCTTCAATATTGTCGGCCCCATCTGTCACAATATTTGTACTGAATATTTAAACCTTTTTAATCAATATCAACTTGAGTATTCAAGCAAAATTTGACCTCCCATTATGATTATGAGAAGGTCAAAATTAGATTCCTCCAAAGTTGTCTGAATTGGAACTATAATTATTAGCGAACCGACCTACAAGCGAGTATATTCGGTAAACAACTAAATTTTATTCAAGACGCTTCTTTGGGGTCAAAACATAACAAATGAACATTCGTATGTCTTGCAAAATCATGCAATTTTACGGATTATCGTCTTAACCTCGGACGATCATAATAAGTTCAAAATATGTTTTAAGTTTAAAAGTCACCGATTCATCAAGAGCCCACCTTCTTTCCGCCTAATTTTGTTTGAGCCCTTTTGACAGGGGCATAGCCAGGCGTATGTTTTTACGCACAAACCTCCACATCAATTTTGAAAAAAGGAGAGATGTAATTTCCATGTATGATTGTATGCCCTTAAAACAAACACATCATTTTTCAAAAATAAATAGGTTAATAATTTTAAAAATGAAAAAAAAAAGATACTTCGAAACAAATTTGAACTACGGTTAAAAAATTAATGAAAATTATCATAATCAGTTGATGAGAAAATGCAACTTCCTTTTCTATCATAGAAAATCTTTCATATACTTGCCTTTATATTGTGACTTTCTGATTTCTGCATGCCGTATTTTTCTAAAATGTACGTAAAAAATATTTGAGGACACCAACTTGTTATATCTCCGCAACGCCCCGTGAGCTAAATTGTGATGAAATTAAATGGATAATCTTGTAAAGATCTACATGTACATTACATCAAGTGAATCATCTCTGGTGGTATCGCCGACATTAATGAACATCACTGCGGTCTTTGCTCATTTTTTTAAAGTGAAAATGGAGACTGGATTATCCCCCTGAAATATATTTTATTTGTGTCTTTTTCATTAAATCTTGGCATCTAACTTGTTATTTTTACACCCCCCCCTTCCTAGATCCGTGCATGCATGTTGTATAAATCTACCGGTATTCATTTCTAATAAACTTTGCGAGCATTTTTTATGAGAATTAAAAAAAAAATATTCAAACTAGATTGTACTCAATCTCTCAGATAACATTTCGAGGATATTATGTTTGTTAAAAAATACTTTGAATATAACATGGCTTTCTTTATTTTATGTAAATTAATTAAGTAAT